GGCAAATCTTCTGCTAAGGCGAGTTTTATCATCATCATCATCAAGAACACTTCGAAACTCAATTGAATTCCATACTCGAAATATTTCATACTTATCTTCTTCGTCTTCTTCATCTTCCACGAAAGTCTTCAATTCCATCTTAGAAACTCAAGCTTTTGGTTGTACTAACAATGGAGCTCGTTCTAGTTATCTAGGGCTTGCGTTTCTAAAAGATACTCGAAGAGGTTTCGCTAAAGGAAAAAAATCAAGTAAATTTTTATCTCTTTATCTCTCTCTATATACATATATCCATCAGTTTGTTTAATTCTTTGATTATGTATATGTATTGGTATTTTGTTGAATGGTGGATGATATGAGGAATTAGTCTCTATCAAATCAAAAGATACATAACATACACACTTTTGATTTGTAGCAATGGGTCTTATTAAAGGAAAAATGTGGATTTAAATGTTGCTTTCACAAATTGTTTCTATTGTCTTCAAACATTTTTTAATGACAATATGGATGCTTCAAAGCCATCCCAAATCGGTAACCAAAACAAGCAAGCCCGCCTCGGTAGTGGTACTGTGGTAGTAGCTTCAAATTAATAAAGGAGTGCCTCTCTTAACTAAGACTGGAAGGTTTTAAGTGTTTTTCCCTGTGACTTTTTTGTTTTTCCATCTTAGCTATGCTCATAAAAGAAATGCATATTCTGAAAGAGTTGCAGTAATTTTGGCCAGACAAAATTCGATAATCATGTACATTATGTTCTACTTCAGTAACTGTTGCACAGCTTTTCTCTCGAAGCTTGAAAAATCTTACATTTTTCTTCTATATTTTGTAGAGGATAATGATGGTGGAAGTACTGTTGAGGTTGTGCCAGATATTGGGCCAACTGTTAAAGCAACTGCTATAGCACAGATGGAGGCAGCAACTGTAGCTTTATCACGAGAGTTGAGTAAACTACGCACGGGAAGGGCATCTGCAGGTATTCTTTAAAACACCACATCACTACAAAGGCATATGTTGGTGTCATTAGCCTATATTATTTTTACTTAATGACTTGAACTTCCTTTACAGGAATGCTTGACCATATAATCGTAGAAACCGGCGGTGTAAAGGCGCCTTTGAGTCGTCTGGCTGTTATTTCTGTCATGGATTCAAAGACCCTCTCAGTAACACCTTATGATCCAAATGTTAGAATTTATTCCTTATCTGTGTATAATTTGGCTTAGGTAGCTGCATATCTTTGTGTAAAATTTGGCTTGTCTGATGTATTGCCAGCTCTTGGATTTCGCAATTTTGAATTATCTGGCCTTACATTGCTTCAGTGATGAGATATTGGGTTTAACTTAGGTTTGTGCACAAGACAATTTAAGTTAAGGTAGACCACCTGCCCGGTTTATTAGAAAAATAGGATGTTATAGGCTAGCTTATATTGTTCCAGAGGCACTTTGAGAAAACTATAATGAAGAGATTCCTGACAAAGCATTTCTAAGGGGAGACAAGAAGTCAAGAGTTAAGATAACCTTAGTGTGCATTTTCTTAATATCTATTACAATTAACTTTGAAATTGCAGATAGCTCCTTCGGTTAACTTTGTGACCAAGGGCTTTAGTTTGCCAAATGACTGAGACCTTGGACATAATTTGCTGCTTGTTTAGAGTTAGTTGCACCGAATTTATAACCAACATCTTTTGCTAATTATTTCAGCATCAAAATTCAGAATGCTCACCCTTAGATTCAGTAAGCAGAATTACAAATTTATGATTATATTTAACACTGTTTTTATTTTGAAAGAAATCTGCAACTCTACATCTTCAAGTTTGAATTGTTTCTTGTCTGTACTTTGGATATTTGATCAAAGATTACATTATGCATATTATTTAAGTTATCATTTTATGTCCAGGCTATAAAGGAGTTAGAACGTGCCATTGTATCATCTCCACTCGGACTAAATCCTCAAGTGGATGGCCAGCGACTGATTGCAGCTATTCCGCCGTAAGTTTTCGATCTATTTAAGTCATGTTTTAAATATTAATTTAATATCCTGGAAAAAGCAAATTTTGATATTCCAATCAAATAGGTGTCTTCAAGTAAGCTACTAGAAACAGGGATACATTAAAGGATTTTAATTAACAAGACAAACTAATAAAACTACCAACATATCTAACCATAAAGCCAAAATGCATATGAAGTATAGAAAATAATATTAGTTAATTTTCCATTTTGGGGATTCATGAATGAATTGTCTAAGCTCATTACCTCGCCTTAAAGGGCCTTGGATAGTTGGATCTGCCATAATATGAACTCCCTACATTCTGGCAAAAGGCATCATAAACTTGTTGTGGTTGTCCTCCCGATAAACACCCTTTAAGGCCAAGGGCAATAAGCTCCTTCCTTGCGTAACCTACCCCTGAAGAACAAAGGAAGAAACTTTTACACAAGAAGCTGTGAAGAAGAAGGTTGAAACAGGGGGGAAATGTACATGGTACTTTTATCCCTCTTTTATTTTTTAAGGATGAAATGTGCTTCAAGCAGTGCACAAAACACAAACTTTTGATGGGAGTTTTGAATAGTAAACCTGTGCAGTGAAAAGTTAGATTGCGAACTCAGACAATGCAGATAGCAAGAGTGAGCCGAAGATCCCCAGATTTGGTTGTAGATCTTACATGTTTGGCTGTTCTTCTCTTATAAAAGGAAAATCACCCAGTCATTTATATAAGGCAGCGGCCGCTCTATCTCAATCTTTAGAGACCTTGATATAATTCCAAGCAATATCACTCATCCTTGTAAGCCAGTGGTTAAAGTCTGATCTGAGAATAATCGGGTGAAAACTAAAGCCCCGTTTTACATTGCAGAAATTTTGAAGGCTTTTTTATCTGATGTCATTTTCATTATTCCTTTTGTAAATTGATGTTTAACCAGTGAATATAAGTTGCAATGAATACAAGCTTCTTCTAATCTGTTTTTGGACTGGAAATGACATGTTTGTGGTAGCAAACAATTCGGATCTTATTTACGTTTTAGTTATAAATTTGAGGGAAGAACGACTTATGGTTTCAGGCTTTCTGCAATGCCAAAGAAGCCTTACTGAAATCTCACATTGACATGTTCCTTCTAACTTCTAAGACATGATTTTGAAATCTATCTATTTGTTGTGCACACTAATTTATTGGTCAAGTGAAATGCATTTTTTGATTATGAAGTCGACACTCGGCATCTTGCTGATCAGATTTTGTTTTTCTCAATGTCTATTATCCAGGTTGACCAAGGAGCACATCCAGGTGAGCTCATTTAAGGATTTGTTTGAAGTTTTTTTTTTTT